ATATAGTATAGAGTAATTATATATTATATAGTATATAAGATAGTATATAAGATAAACGTATAGTAAGTAAGTATAAGTATAAGTATATTATAAAGGTACTAGCTAAGTAGCTACTTAAAGTAGTAGGCGCCTAAGGCGCTATATAGTCTTAGTAGGCTTAAGAGCTATATTAAGTAGACGTATATAGGTAAGTTATTCTAACTTAGACTAGAGAGTCTAGGTTAAGAGCTTTTATTTATATAAAATAATACTTTAGTATATACTTTAAAAAATATACTTTATAAAATTTTATTAAAAGAGATACTTATAATACTAGCTTTTATTCTCTTTAAATTTTAACTTTATTAAAAATATATAAAATAAAATAAAAGATTAAGTTAAAATTTAGTACCTAAATTTTTTAAATAAGTAGTAGTAATTATATAATTAGCTTTATAGTATTATAAAAGAAGCTTAAAATAAGATAACTTTTAAATACTTCTTTTTTTTAGTAAATAGTATAAAAAAGAAGTATTAAGTAGTTATTAATACTAAGAGTAGCTATACTAAGTATTAAACTATTTTATAGTATATTAGCTAGGTTAGAGGACCTCTAATCGCTCTACTATACATTACTTTTGCCTGTTACTATTGTACAGCCTCCTTACACGGAAGATGCTTGTGAACACTGTCTTTGTTTGCGGGGTGATGAATAATCCAAGCATACGGTATAACACCTCTTGCGTGTTATGAAATTAATGTACCTTTGTTAGTAACGCTCACGGTTGCTCAATCATTTTGTCAACAGAACGCTGCTTCTTCAGTGTGAGAGGATGCAATGTCCAAATATCATCTATAGTGGCCAAAGCCAAGTCGCTTTCTACTATTACATAGTGGTATCATTTCTCCGTACGAGACATCTAAGCGGTGACCTCTCCCTCAGCAAAAGCTCTGCCGATTTCCCTCGCAACTCCCAATCTTAGCACTGCAATAATATCTTCACTCTTTGCACCCTTCGGGAAGCCTTTCCGCCAGTCCCACCCACGCTTGCTATCGTCTACGTGTCCACCCTTGACAAAGACCGTCGAGCCCTCTGCACTCTGACCATCTGCGGAGCCGAAATCAATTGAGCCTATAAGCGAATATTGGCTTGACGCTGTCGTCAAATTCGATGTCGATTTCGATAATTGTTGAGAGGCGTTGGGGTCGTGTGCGGAGAGGAGGGTAGTCGCAAGTACTTCCTCGCATTGCGTTCGGATCATGCTAGGTGCGGTATCAAGGTCCTCGATGGCTGCGAGGAGGTCGTACAAGTGGCGGAGCGTCAATGTGCGCTTGGGCTGGTTGACAAAGATGAGTGCCTCGCCTAGCAACGGTAGGAGAACGTCGACTTGAACCACAGTCTCTATCTCTGGATCATACAGTCCTCCACGGATGCTGGATGCCGCGCTGGCGATGATGACCATGAGCGCGTTCGCTGCAGCTCGTTTCCGTGCCATGGGTCGGTGTGCTGGCTTCTCTCCGGGCTTCAGTAACACCTCTTCATCTCGCAGGTCGTAGTATTTGCGTATTGTTGCGTAACCGCTCAGATGGTTTGAAAGGAGGGAAGCTGCCTCAGAGTCTAGGCTTGCGAGTTTTGTCAGGGTCTGCTTTGGTGAAGTAATGAGCGAGTTGAGCGACTCGTCCAGTTCATCTAGAGGCGGATAGGCGGTCGACTTGATAAGGCAGTGGGCGACCAAGACTCGTAGCACCTCTTGAATCTTTTGTGCGTCGTGGGCACGGGCGTAGTAGAGCAGTGTATCGCCATAGCTCTCGGTGTTGGTGCGGAGATGGTCGGCGTATTTCTGCAACTGTCAGCTTGTATCCGGGAGTGTTCCTGCTCTGTAACATACCTGAGCGATGATGACGGCATGCTGTGAGAGGCCCAAGTTATGGCAAAGCTGGGTGATCTTGTCGACACGAGCTGAGGACTCGAGTTGCAAGTCGTTCAGTATCCGCTCAATGCGCTCGTTTGCTGTGATGCCGTCGTCCAGTCTACCGAGAATCTGCACCGCGATCTCCCATCCTTCTTTGGATGTTTGACCGTCTCTAGCCTCGAATTCGCCTCTGGCAGGCAACAGATTGGCGTAGGCAATAAGTATGTCGTCTTTTCTCACACCCTTCGGCTGTTGCTGTTCAGTGTAACTCAGGACCATCAGATCACTCTGGTCGAACTGATCCATGAGGCCCTTTGCGCTTGTGAACCACTCTCCCGCACTGGCAAGCTCCGCGACCGCAGAAGCCATGGTGAGGGACCATCCCTGCAGGATTTGGAGCGCGCCCTCAATGTTGTCATCAAGTATACATGCTATGCCCACCTCGAAAGGGTCGACAGCATTGACACTGAAGTCTTCGTCGCTGTTCTGGATGACAGCCGCCAGCGCGGAAGATAGCCGTTGGCAGTACGCTTTGACAGGAGTCACGTCGACAGGGCGAACTCGTTGAGACCGCATGATGGAGCGACGGCTTGCGGCCAGACTACCCTGTGCGGAATCTTCCTCTTCTCCATTCCACCAGACGCTCAGACCCACTACTGCTTCGATCCAGTCGGCCGATAATTCGAGGATCGCTTCTTCATCGCCCAGCAAGAGCTTGTAGACCGTGCTGAGGGCCTCGTACACTGACCAGGGCACTTTACTTTCGGCTTTGCGACTGGCCACACTAAGCTGGAAGCTTGCCTGAGTTTGCGATATGCCAAAATGTGCCGCCTTGAAAGGCTGGGAGATAGAGTGTCGGCTCACACTTTCGCCCTCGGCAAACTCCTCCAAGCTAGCACTCACTTGGTGAACGCGCTGCCTAAAGATGCTCCAATCGTGTCCCTTGATGTCCCAATCCTCCGATGCGATGGCTGGACATTCCCGGAGGAGATCGATTGCTTCCCGAAGCGCGTGGTTTGCGTATGAGAGGTGTGACCCGACGTAACCTGAAGTGCCCAATCCGTCGTGTTGAGCTGTCTCGGCGTGCTCAAGCTGAGCGCCCTGAAGTAGTCTCATAGTCTGCGAGAAGTTGCCCCTGACAGTAGACACATGGACAGCTTCCCAGAACGAGGAATGTCTTGAATACCCGCGGGTCTCCTTCAACACCAATTCGGCCTCGACCTGAGGGAATGTGCTGTTCAGCCAGTCGAGCAGCACTCGCGGGATGGGTGTGTATTGTTTCGAATCGGTTCGCGCTACGAGGGAGAGGGCGGAGGCTCGCTGGTTTAGGCCAATCTGTGGGGGGTTGTGAAGGGTCAGCAGAAGAGCAGCAAGCTGGCGGGCTTGCGACAGCTCCTGCGAAGTCGACCTGTGTGTATCTGGCCAAGTTGCGATCAGCTCCTGAGCGACTGTGCCAAGCACCTCAGTCCGCTTGTCTGGCGAGTCTGACTGAAGAGACTCGTGGACTTTCTCAACCAGACGCTCCGTCTCCAATATGATTTGGTCGGACTCGCGCAGAGCCTGTCGGTCGCTGTTGGAAGTAAGGCCCTTAGCGAGCGCAAGGAGATCGAATCGCGTCTGTTTTGCGCCTGACCGCACCAAGGCAGGACTTGGCTCCATGTCGGTTGCGCTTGTTCTTGAGACAATTGACTGGGAGAACCTGTTCTGTGTTTTGTTGCGGCGCTGCGGTGAGAGCGGCTCGTCCTCCTCGGTGCCCTCGTCTTCGTCCATGTCGTCATCTTCTTCCTGATCCTCATCCGTGTACTCCTCTTCCGACTCGCCCTCCGCATCCTGGTGTAGTGTGTGTGCGGGCGCTTGGAACTGGCCAGAGGTTGCGATGCGTCCGCGTTGGGTTGGGGGCCGTCCGGAAGTCGAAGTGCCTATTGAGCCGAGCCCATTGCCCTCAAACATGCTTCCCTTGGGCGGTGAGCTGCCAAACAGCGAGTTGCTGGCGTAGTCATAGCTGTTTGGGTTGAAGGTTGGGCGCGCATTGCCGAAGAGTCCTTGGTTCATGCCTGGCGGCGGGCCAGCTGGTGTCGAGGAGGGATAGTGCGATTCGTCTAGAGGTGGAGGGCCAGCGGGTGTGGTCGAGGGTGCGTGTAGGCTGTCGTCGTAGTAGCTGCGGCCGGGTGTTGACGGTGATCCACGAAACATTGCTCTCTAGTCGCAAGTTTACCTGGGTACGCGGTGGAACAGGCGAACAGGGATCCAAAACCAAGGTATTTTCTCCACTTAATTTCCCAGTTCACACGTTGCGCCGCACATGCGCCGTAATGAATTATTTCGCGTGGTGAAAGAATTCGATTGTTCTTGGTCTAGCTACTGTCGCGGTCGCAAAACATAAACTCTGGACGAGCTCCAGCGACGCGCTCGGCTTGGCGCGTCCACGGGCCGGCGTTCGGCGAAACCTTCCTCCGGCTTCACAAAGTGCGCGCGCCGTGCAAGAGCGGCACCTGCGTCCATGGATGTCTTGCTCGCAGCTTGCTTTTAGATTGCAGACCCGCCCGGCTATCTAGACTCGACGACACGTGCGCATGATTCACGACGCATGCCTAGTTCATCCCGCTTGTCTTGACTTTTGGTTTTTTCTGCTCGTTCCTGGTGGCGGCGCCATGAAAGCGTCCACGGGTGCCTTCACAACGAATCAGGCGACGTGCATACCCCGAGATGGTGTGGCTGCCACCCGTGTTCAACCCCGCTACGGGCTGTTTCTGGTAAATCAATATCCCATCACCCTCACTAAGTCTTTTGTCGAGTCGTGGAGCGCAGGGGTCAAATCACTTGGTAATGCCTAGGGTTCCTTATTAAGGTACCCGATGCTAGACTGCGCCGTCGCCAGCCTCCGCCAGCATTAGCCTACAGCTGACGTACCGTGCGACTCAAAAACGGTTGGAGCCCGCTGGTCGACCACACCCGCTGCTTCCGTCGCCTGACCCAACTCTTTGCCTTTTCTCGTGCGCGTTGTCCTACTTGAATGCTTCTCATCTCTAATGTGTAATGCTGCTTGCTGCGCACTCATACCCCTCGGCCCACCTCTGACGTAGTGCTGCCCGTCGATAGCCCGCCATCATGGCGCTCTGGTCCACCGCGAAGACGCAGTCAAAGCAAGGTTTCGACAAGGTCTACACGTGGGTTGACAAGCTCGGTGCCCCCGTCAATCGACTGTCCAACAAGGTCGGCTCTGAAGCCTTCTGGCCTACGACGCTAGACATCGAGTCGGACAAGGCTGCGAGGATCCTCAAAAGCTTCTGCAGTACGTCAACTTCCGATGCGTCCCGCCAAGTACTGACACGCCCGCAGAGGATGGTTTCTACCAGGAAGAAGACCGACCCATCACCACCGACGTCCCCAAGGGAAAACAACGAGTCCTCAAGAAGATACCCTCCAAGGTCATCCAGAATGCCAAAGGCCTATGCATATTCACGACCATGCGTTCCGGTCTTTGGGTCTCCGGATCTGGCGGAGCCGGCATATTGGTCGCACGCAAGGCCGATGGAACATGGTCACCCCCGTCAGGCATCATGATGCACACCGTGGGTGTAGGCTTTCTCGTAGGGGTAGACATTTACGACTGCGTGATTGTCATCAACTCCGACAAGGCCATGGAGGCTTTCCAGTCCATCCGCTGCACATTGGGAGGTGAAATCAGTGCAGTCGCAGGCCCAGCCGGCGTTGGCGGCATACTGGATTCGGAGATCCACAAGCGACAGTCACCACTTTTCACGTATATCAAATCGCGAGGATTCTATGCTGGCCTCCAATTAGACGGAACTATCATCATCGAGCGAGCAGACGAGAACGAACGGTTTTATGGCGAACGCATAGGAGTCAAAGACATTTTGGCTGGCAAAGTGAGGCACCCGCCTTACGAGATAAGGAGACTCATGGAAACTCTCAAATCGGCTCAAGGCGATACGGACGTGGACGAGACTTTGATACCAGACGAGGCGCCACCTGCCGACTTCGAGATTACAGGTCCGGAAGATAAGACATTTGGTATTCCAGACGCTGTTGACCCCGACCCGTATGGCGTACTGGCACTACAAGAAGCTGGTCTAGAGATCAGGGAAGCTGGCACACACAGCCGTCCGGCAAGTGAACAATTCGAGTTCAAGCCGAGCCCCACAAGCCCCATCTACAACACTTTCAGAAACTCTACATTCCGGAGAAGCATGGACCGCTCGAGCTATGCTGGCAGTCGGCCAACGAGTTGGCGCACAAGCACCATCAGCGGCGTATTGGAACCCCGGACGCCAACAGTTGACATGAGCACCCAGACCGACGATCTACCGCCACCACCTCCGACCATCAGGAAGTCACCCCCCACGCTGCCGCCAAGAACAAGCGTCGCACGCACACCTACTCCTCCCATAGTGGAAGTACCCGAAACCAGGGTCGAGCAAGCTACTCCGCCACGCGCAAGGAGTGTAGACAGACAGGCCGAAGAAGCAACACCTACCGCTGCAGGAACAAAGACAGACAAAGCTGCCGGCCCAAAGTCCGACGGCTCTCCTCGGAACTCCATAGCCACTGAAGAGGCTCATGATTCCGAGTCAAGTTCCGATTCGGAATCAGATGAAGAGGAGGAAGATGAGTTTGAGGAAGAGCCAATCGTCCACGAGGTCCACCAGGCCGCTGCCCCACAAGCCATTCGCGCACGCGTCGTCCAAGTTGCCAAGCCAATGCCTCCTGCTCTACCGGTCAGAAATCCATTCCGCAACCGCGTCTCAACGAACTCAGACGGGTCCCTGAACTCTCCAACCGTACCGAAGCATAGCCCGGAATCAACCCCCTCGCTTATGCGCGGTGATTCAACTTCTTCTCTGTCTTCCGTAGAAGACAACAGACTCGAGCAGATTGGCAACAGGCTCAAACCCAAGTACTCTCACGAGCCGTCACCCGATGACGAAAAGAAGGAGGACAAGGACGACGCCTTCCACTCGCTTCCAGAGTCCCCAATGAAGAGCATCCCAGGAGGGTTCAACTGAGCGACCGACGTCTAACATCCAATCGACTTCCGCCTCTCTCTACACCGCCCTTTCGCTGCACATATAGAGCTAGGATGACCATCTCATCCTGGACTACACCCTCACAGATTACGCTTACAAAATGGCGTTGCGACCCCAAGCGCATGATTACTGCGTCTTGCCACTTGCTTATTCGGCTTGGCCAAGACGTAACCATGCCCGGTCGATCACCACACCTTGATAGGAGACAGCCTTTCACCGTCGTTACGAATTATGATTCCCATTGATATCCACTTTATTGCTTTACTTGCCCTGCTCACGCATGGCTCGCCATAGCATCTGCATGTATCTAGTGCTATTTCAAAACTGCAATTTGTTTGCTTGCATACCAATAGTCACCATATACGAATATTATGTCTAATTCGAATCAGCACATGTCTGGCATTGTTCAAGGGTGATATATAACAAATTCATGGCTCATCTGGAAGGCAGTGAGAGCGTGGGCGGCCGGCTGCGCTAACGCGACCGTGACACCCCTGCCAAAATTTCGTGAACGGAATTCCACCACGAGCTCGACTTGCGCGGATACACAGACCTCCACACCAGCATTTGCACCCTCAAGTACTGAGTCGGCGCGCTTCTTACATATTGCGCCCGAAGCCGATCTGTAAAAAGTCTCACACCAAGTCCTCTCGAAGGCCGACCGACACTCCTTCCAACCACACAGCGCCGCCCGTCGCAACCCACACCCGCAATGGCACCCGAAGCGCCGCCAAAGACGAAGAAGTCTAAAGCAACGCCGAAAACAGTCGCCGACTTCACCGTTCTTCCCCTCACATTACCCACACTGTCTGGTCTGCCAGCGCACTGCAACGATGCAAAGCATTACGTCTACGTCAAACCGCACGCACCCAGCATACCCACTGCCGACGACGAGCGCAGCCTCTTTATCGCAAACGTACCCGTCGACGCATCCGAGCGCAACATCCGCGCGCTCTTCCAGGAACAATTAGGCGGCTCCATGGTCGAGCGCGTCGAGTTCGATGCCTCGGTCCCCGCGCAACCAATGCACAAGCGCTGGAAGAGCGATAAGCCTACGACGCAAGACGACTCAGCTACCTCGAGAGGCAAGAAGAGGAAGAGGACCGATGACGCGGCGGTGATAGCAGAGGGTGTGGTGGAAGACGCCGAGAGCGCGCTACCACGGTTATGGAACAGCGAAGTGCGTAAGAGCGGGAGCGGCGCCGTCGTCGTCTTCGTAGACAAAAAGAGCGCCAGGGGAGCTCTGAAGGAGATCCAAAAGGCCGTAAAAGAAGGCAGAAGCATATCCTGGAAGGGAGGAGAAGGACTAGGCGTTGAGCGTAAGTCTTCACAATCCCCTCACTCATTTCACGTCTAACCCAAGAAACAACAGGCTACAAATCCCACAACACCCTCATCTACCCAACCCCCACCCTCCTCCAAGCCTCGCTAAACGCCTACCTCACCCAATTCAACGCTCTCGAAACAGCGCGAAACCGCATCCGCAAGACATCGCGCTCTGTTCCTGACGAGGAAGGCTTCATGACGGTTACAAGAGGCGGTCGTGTTGGGCCTGCTAGGTTGGAAGAGGCGGAGAAGAAGAAGGCTGAGTTGGATGAGCGGAAAAGGAATCACAGGGCTACCGATGACTTTTATAGGTTCCAGAATAGGGAGAGGAGGAAGGAGGCTGAGGGGTTGCTGAAGAGGAAGTTTGAGGAGGATAGGCGGAGGGTCGAGGGTATGAGGGAGAGGAGGGGGAGGGTTAGGCCGGAGACGTGAGGGTGAAATATGTGGTGGGCGTGCGATTAAGAGCTTCCTTTGGGTAAGATGCTATATATGAGTCTTTGGAGTGCAGCTGCACGCAGGTTGTACCACCAGATGAAGTTTTTACTGAACTGTTCTCTTCAAATCACGACTCACTCGGCATGGCACAAATGTGAGGTAGATGAAATCAATACATTGATCCATGGTCATAAACTAGCACTCGTAAAACTCAACACAACAAAGAAAATAGGAAACCAATCTCGAATCTTTCCCTGAAGAAAGAGAGACGAGTGTGCGCAAACGAGCGACCTAAGTCATCCCATTCCCGTTCCCATATGCATTCGCATTCGCAATTCCACCACTCATCTCTTCATCTTCCCCTCCACCTGGGTTCTGTCCAGGTAGTGTTTTCGTCTGAAAACAAGCTTTGTTGAGCCGACGGCTCCCAGTCTTGCTCCCACTCCTGCGAAACTGGCACATGGAAATCGACTGCGACCCTTGGGTTTGATCGCCTTCTATCCCACTGAAGACACTATCGCCTTGCTTGTGTGATGATTGGCATTCGCGCAGAGGAATTGCCAATGGAAGTGCGTGATGCGGCTCGGTGCTTGCAGAAGAGCGGACATGGTTGGCACCGCAGGTCCGGTCTTTCCGATTGTCCAGATGGTCGTCGTCCATAGTGGTCTGGACTGGTTCCAGAAAGGAAGACAGGCCGTTCAGCATCAGCTGGACTGCATTGCTGCTCTTGCTGTTCCCATTTGCAGCAGCGATTGGCATAGACAGTATACCTTGATCAGATTCCGTATGCACCTTCTCCCAGACTAGTGCTGAGAGACCGCGAGGGAAGGTCTCAGAAGCCTTGAGCGTGTTGCATTCCCAGTACAACTGTTCACCCAAGTGGAGGAAGCGTCGACTGAGTAGGCGGTCTTGTAGCGCCCATGCACGTGTATCCCAGCCGAAGTTGGGTGTAGTCAGGATGCCAACTGGCAGCAAGGCAGAAGCCGGCTGTCGACCTGGAGTCTGGCTCTTGTTGGTCGTTGATCCAAGTAAGGACGCCGGGTAGTTCTTTTCAGGTATGCCCGACATGACCGCTTCGCCGGTCAACTGGTCAAGTACGACTGTCAGTGCCGCGTTACGGAAGGTGGACGCCATCCTCGTGCACTCTTGTTGCTTGTCTTCTTCCGAATCTTGAAGCACACATAGTGAATCTAGCCAGCAATAGTTGTGGCCCAGGCGGTGTGCTGTCGCAATCGCATTCGCGACTGTGATTGGGAGTGTTCCTAGAGGCAGCTCACTTCGCATGCTCAACAGCGTGCTGCTGGAGAGTACTGGCTGGTTGTCGCCCCATACGTAGCTCAAGGCGACATATTCGGTAGTCGACTCCAGGCTGTCGGTCTCAACAATTCTCGCGCGAATCGCATCACCCGGACTGCCCGGAAGGATCTCAATCAGACGTGTGGGTAGGGTGCTGGCATCGCGCTCTGCTGTATGGTGGCAAGCTTCGTGAGTGTGTGTGCACTCGGCTAGCCAGCTCTTCGCATTGGAAAGGCTAGGCTCTGACTCGATGCTGTTCTTGCCGTGAGCGTGGGAATGGCAGCAGGTTTCGTCGCCGCCTTGGTGAGCAAGCGTCTCTACTCCACCAAGTTCCTCTTGTGGACCAGGGTATGTCGCCTTGTCGTTCGGCCAGTTGAGACAGCATGGTGCAGGAGTAAAGATCATGGTCAATGATCGTGCGTCCGGCCGCTCATCTGGATCAGCACTCAACATGCTCTGAAGCGAACGCACAACGGTCTGCTCCGTCGTAGTATTTGCCTCAGCCAAGAATGCGGCAAGCTTGTCTTGTATACCGGAGACGTCCTGCCAGTAGTGCTTGCCAGTACGACCGCTGAATGTCTTGCGGAAAGCTAACCATCCCGTGTTGCCTTGGCTGAATGATACAGACGCCATTTCGGCGAAGACACAACCAAGACTCCATATGTCAGCTGCCTGCTTGCGAGTAAAGCCCTCAAAGACTTCAGGGGCGATGTATTGGCGTGTTAGCGGCTTGCGCTGGTCATCGCCCACTTCTTCTGCGGAGCTGACGCCAAAGTCGCTGAGCACGACGTGTGGGAATTCCTGATCGCCTTCTACGATCAAAATGTTCTGAGGCTTGATGTCCATATGCTTGACAACAGGTCGCTGCTCGTGGAGATACCTCACTGAGGAGGCAAGACAGCCAAACATCTTGGTAATAGTCTCTGGCAGGTTGGCAGGCTTCTGCAGCGCTGTTCGCTGCAGCCATCCTGCAAGCGTTGTCTCCGCAACGGGTGAGAGGAGGATTGACATCTTGTCACCTCTAGAGTAGGCCCCAAGGAATCGAATTATGTGAGGGTGGCGAAGCTTCTGAAGAACGCTGACTTCCTTCTTGAGCTCCGCAATCGCGGTCTGGTCACGGTTCTTGAGTGTCTTGCGACCGACGTGGAGTCCCGTTTGCTGATGCACGACTTCATCGACTGTACTAAAGCCTCCGGAGCCCAGAAGCTTGACACTTAGGAATGACGTCGTTGATGGACGTATTTCAGTCCTGGATAGTGTCATGGCTGTATTGTCTTGAGTAGACGTCGTCGTCGTACCCGTGTGCCACGTTGCTTCGGTCAGCGAAATAGTTCCATGTCGTGGGCTGGAGAGAGGTGCGGCAGATGAACCTGGAGCAGCAGTGGCTACGTCAGCCCTCGAATATTTCCAGTGAGGGTGTTCTGAAAGTCGAGCATCCGTTCTACTGCCTGGCGATGAGTTTAGGAGCTCACCCTTCATGGGCTGGGAGAGCCCATCGCTGGCCATAGCATTCTTGTGGTCTTCCTCTGTCGCAATGTGGCTGACTTGCAGTAGTCGCTGGTCAGTTGAGACGCCGAGCGATGCTGTTGCATCCGTCTCAGGTGAGATCGATGACTGAGAGATGTTCGGCGAAAGTGTAGTGGGTTTGATAAGTTGGTCCGCACAATACAACTGGCTCTCACCGAGTTGTGAGAGCTGGAATTGGAAGAATCCGCCGCTTGATGACTGGCCTGCAGAACTGCCGCTGCCGCCCGAGCCAGTGTGTTTGGAGCCACCGTCACCCTGTGGATGGAAAGGCGGTTGAGGGGAAGGCTTGCCACCGAAGCCGCCATCGCCTGGCCCGTCGTCATTGTCGTCGTCTGCGGAGTCGAGGCTGTCGTTGTCTTCCACGTCGCGCCAGTCAAGCATGCATTTGCCTTGCTTGAAGTGATCCGCAATGTGATCTATTCGTTCTTGTCTCGTCTCGAAGCGATGTCGGCAAAATCCACACTTGCGTGGGAATTCGGTCTCGGAGTACACGGTGCTGGCCTCGTCGAAGTCCTCCGCGTTCATCTCAGGGTGGATATTGCGGAAATGCTGGACAAAGTGGTACTTTCTGAAGCACGGTCGAACGTTATCGACACCCCCGACTGTACACAGGCTGCAGACCCATGATTTGCATGGGTAGCCTTCTTCCTCATTCCGCTTCCAGTCATTCTTACGGCCATACCGCTTGCCGCATTTCCGAGTGCACTGGTAAATCTTTCTGGGATCCCTACCGAGCAACTCTAGGTCTTCGGTAGGTGTGCACCGTTTCTTACCCCGTGTGGTGACTGGCTGTATGGTGACGGTAGTGTTGTCGCAATTTGGTGACGAGCCGGGGGTGACCGTCTCTCCAAGTGCTTGTTGTATCGTGTTCCCATAAGCAGTGCATGCCCCCGAAAGGTCTGTTTGGTACGTCTGATCATCCCAAAAGAGTTCTGGCTGCTTCTGCTGCCGGTCTTGTTGGATGAGTGCCGTTTGGGACTTGTAGGCCGAATCGCTCTGGTTGCCACCCATGCCCTGCTTCAAGAGCTGACCGAACCAGCTTCGGATGGCATCTGCAGGCTCACCGGTGAGCTGGCTTAGTGAGTCGATGTGCCTATCGCTTTTGAATTGTTAGCATTGATGAACATTACTCTGGTCTTACAAACACGTATGCGCTACATGATATCGAAGCTAAGGAGGAAGTCGCCAGCCAGGGGGATACATGAGAGTGTGTATGACTCGGAGATGACCACGAAACACAGCTCCGTGCACCCCGTAAATGTATGGACAGACTTCCCTCTCGCCGTGGTATCCGTCTGGCTGAACAATCTTGGTCGGAGGGTCGTGAGCTTACCTTGGCAGCACATTGTATTTATGGAACCACGTTGCGCAGACATCGGCTGCCTCATCTGGAAGACCTTCTACGGCCACGGGCGGGGTCGCCTCCAGACCCCAGCTGGATGTCGTTGTTGCAGGAGGTGTTGGGAATAATGGGAAATCAAAGCTTGCGTGACGCTTAGATTGAGGGTAGTCCTGCGTCTCAAGCTGCAGCGGCCGCTTGCCAAGCGCATTAAACTGCGTAGGCATGGCATCAAATGAGTGAAGTGGTGTAGGTGGGTATGCCTTCGCGGTATGTTGGAGCTGCATATCAGGTGTGAGCTGTGCCATCCATGCTGGGGTCGCCGAGGTGTCATCCAAGGTCTGCCGCATGGTTAGCAAGTATGCTATATGGCAAAACGAACAATCAGCTTACCAGACTTTGTTGCATTGTGCACTGCTGAGCGTTGGTTTCGAATACAGCCGGATCAATGAAAGATGATGATGCGGAAGTATCGATACCCTCGTCAGCGAAGAAGAAGCCAGAAGTGTTATCCGCTGGCGTGTACGACTGCTGCTGCTGCGGCGTCGCAAACATGTTGCTGAAATCCATGTTGGTGTCAAAGGCGAAACCTGCGCCCTGATGGTCCATGACTATGTGTGGTGTATTTGTCAGAGGGCGTTCAATTTCGTCGTAGTAGACGGTTAGCAATCACGGGCTCAAAGAAAGAGCGTGAGCGAGAATGGTGGAAAGTGAGTGTTCAGGAGCCTGAGGCTTGTCGCTCAGTATTTTAGATCAAAGGGCGCTGCGCCCGCGAGTGTTGCAGTCGCTTTCGGAGTCATCCACGCAGCCCTTCAGCTCTGGGAAAGGGCGATGG